GGGGGGGGGGGGGGGGGAGAAAGGAAGGAAAGCATTGTACACGTCAAGATTCAAACTGCTGCTCGCGTTGTAAAGCAGATCTTAGCTTTTACAGTTTTCGAGTAGCAATATACACGTGTCTTCCGAAAAAAAAAATAAGGATACCCAACAGCCAAGAACATGAAAGGACCGAATTCCTTGCAAGGAGTAATTGCAAGCAGTCTGCCAGCACTGGCTCCTTCACAATTACTAAGATCCGCCGGCAAAGCAATTAATTAATCAAAAAGGTTTGTTTCAAACTCGAAAGATTCAAAATTTAAAATTGATGCTTACCTATGGCAGCAGTGGAGGGAAAGCTCCGAAGCTGACTTAAAGTCTGAATAATTGGAAAAGACAGGGCTTTGCTGGACAGACATACGCAGATCATCGTCGTCAGAACAGGCTAGGCTAAAAGAATACCTACAATCTTTTCGTTCAAAATGTAGACGAGAAGGATAATATAGCACTACGAACCTCGTAAAAGAGATGTTATCTACTTCAACATAACTATCATCCTGCTCATCATCCAATACCCGTTTGCGCAATATTCGCTGTTCCATCCATGCAAGCGTGATCTGCTAACGGTAGTATAATTTATAGAAAAGGGTATAACCTTGATAAGCATAAACGCGACTTTTTTATCGTGCATGTAAACGCAAACCAATTATCACTTGAAGACAGCTACGAATGACCAAAAAGCGAACGAGATTCAAAGGTATTGCGATCAATATCAACTTCTGAATGACGGTGTTGAGGGATTACAACAAATGCTCGAATAATCTCATTTGATCCACGCATAACTCCAGAATTACACCCAGATGACAAATTAAACAACAGATCTTGGAGCCTTGACAATAAAACAAAGAGAAATTATTTTGTGGGAGAAAGGAAGCAGTTATTATGATCAATAATTTGATTTTGCAAACATTGCATAGTAAAGGAAAACTTTGTATGCAGATAAAATGGTTAAAAATCTGTACCGTAAAAAAATTCTAGTAAGCTAAAAGCTAGCTAACTAAAGTTGCTGTAGCACTTATGAAAACAATATGTCAACATTACAGGCAGCCAGAGTCATATGGTATTAGAGAGAAACATTTTCAAGTGATTGTAGGGCGCGATTTATTAGTTATTATTTCCTAAAACCAAGGATCATAAAATGGGACGAAATCGAGTAAAGGTAGACAGCTGATATGAACTACAGATTTCATTAAAGCAATTCTTCTGAACTACTAATCAGTCTTTTGAGAGATGACTTGACAGAATTTTGCTACCGTAAGAACAATTAAAGTCTGCAATTCCTTAGTTCACATCAGCGTTATT